ACATGGCACAAAAGCTCATGAGGAAATCATTAGACAATGATGCTCAAAACACAAGTAAAAAAGAGAATGTGGCTTTTTATGTATCACCATGTTGGTTAGTAAATGAGTAATTAACCAAGGACCAAAGAAGCATGTGGAATGAGATGAGAACAGAGGTTAAGATCAATACTTAAACACAAATATGTTGGACATTGGTCCTTAAAAGATTTCAACAAACATCATACACAAACTAAGTTAAAACTAGAGAATGTGGCTCCTACCTTGTCATCATGATGAATTGACAATGAACATCCACTAAAGAATCTAAGGAGAATTGAATTATAGGTCACAAGGAATGAGGTCAAAATTATAAGTAAAGGTACTTCAATCATTTTGGATCATTGGTACTCAATGGAGATGTACAAACATATCCTTCTAAACCATGATCACAAATGATATGTAAATAACCTCTAAATAAAAGAAAGATGTTAGAGCACTTAAATGGTTCATAAACATGAACTCAAGGCCTTAAACATGATATGAGAATGAAGACTGAACTTAGTTCTTTATAGGTTGCACAAGTGCATTCATTATGTCTCACAATCTCAAATAAACATAAACAAAGATCAATCTCAAAATGAAATGAGAGATGATCAAAGGCAGATCAAATGCCTCTCAAGCCTTTATAAGGATATCCTTGAGTTTATCATATATCTAAAACTCAATAAATCACAATCATGGAAAGAATTGGCTCAAAGGATTTACCAAAAGTCACAAATTAGGGTTTAAAAGTTTAGACACTTTAGGAGTTTAATACAAAGCAATCATCAATAGCTAAAGGGGATCAAAGAGATTGAAAGGATCTTTAAAGTCATGGATTTCTCAGAGGCACATAAGGTGAGGTTTGGTACACATATGCTAGAAGAGGAAGCTGGTGACTGGTGGGTCAGCACTCGTCAGAGACTAGCAGCGGTGGGTGAAGTTGTTGTTACTTAGGATGTGTTCAGCAGAGAGTTTATGAGGAAGTACTTTCTAAAGGATGTGTGCAGAAAGAAAGAGATTGAATTCTTTGAGTTGAAAAAAGGGAATCTGTCGGTGACTAAGTATGCTTCAAGGTTTGTGGAACTGGCAAAGTATTATCCGTATTACAATGAAGCGACTGCTGAATTCTCGAAATGTATCAAGTTTGAGAATGGTTTGCATCCAAAATCCTTAGGTTTCCAGATTTGGTGAACAATTGTAGGATTTATGAAGAAGATAACAAAGCTCATTCAGCTAACTACAAGAGTGTGAATGAGAAGAGAGGAAAACAGAAGGTTTCTGATGGAAAAAAGACAAGTGGGGGAGGAGCTCCCACCCATGTCAAGTGTTATAGGTGTGGTGAATAAGGTCATAATTCTAATGAATATGAGAATAAGGTTCTGAGATGCTACAAATGTGGTAAGACCAGTCATCTTTCTCTTAAGTGCAAGAACGATGGTCTAACTTGTTTTAATTGTGGAGAACAAGGTCATATCAGTACCCAGTATCAGAGGCCAGAGAAGGACGTTGCTGCCTAGACCAACAATAGAGTGTTCGCTTTGAAAGAAGCAGAGAATTCTAAGAAGGAGAACTTGATTCGAGGTACCTGTTTTATTAATAATGTTGAATTGGTTGCTATTATTGATACTGGTGCTACTCATTCGTTTATTTCGCGTGTGTAATACGGTGGGAGAACTGATTTGGTTTTGCTTTTTATCGTAAATTTTACGGATAACAAGAGGCGCCACCCACTTTTCTTTTATCCAATATGGAAAGGGTGAAAAGAACAGGAAAGACCTTCGAGATTTTGAGTTCGAGGGGTAGGTTATGAAAAGGGAAGGTGTTAGAACCCTTTTCATCTGTAGTTATCTACGGGATCTTAAAATTGCTAGTTCACTTTGTTTGAAAATTCTTTGTGTGTATGTGTTTGAAAATATTTTTAAAAAATGCCTAAGTCAGCAACTTTGTAATGATTCATTCAGAATGCGTACAAAGCGTTTCTTTTTTAAAATATTTCGGAAAAAAGTGTTTTGTGTAAAAGATGTTTTGAAATGTTCACGAGCAAGCGATTAAGAACTATCTACCTACTCAAAGATATTTTGTGTTATTTTCCTCCTCCTTAGATAGTGCTATCCTACCATTAGTTAGTAGTAAGCCCTATCGTTGGATGTGATGGGACAGGCGCGGGTCGTCGTACATTCATAAAGGCAACTTGTAGGGGAGCTTTAGCAATTTTATCGTAAGGGAATAAGATCGTTTACCGAAGGCAGCATCAAAGGGTCATTGAGGAACTACGATGTTTTGTATCAGATGGACTTTGTTAAAGCATCCCCACGTTGGAGGGACATGACTATTTTTATTCGAAGGCAACAAGTGGGGTTACCCTAGAAGTGAGTGTGTGAAAAGTGATTCAATTCAGTTATTTAATCTTGTATTTAGGGTTATCTAACGATTGGTTTTAGATCTTGCCATACATGCCTAGTTACTATACAGTAATAAGGAAAACTGTAAATTACGAAAAATAAAGGTCCTACGCTATTACAAAGCTTCGGGGAAGGGGGTACAAAACCATAAAACCGGGGAGAAAATTAAACCCTAATTAAAACTATTACATACTGTAGTATTTACATAATCGGAAAAACTAATGCGAAAGTAAATGCGCGAAGGTTGTAAAACAAAAAGAAAATTGAAAATCATTTTGTGATTGTTTGATGATTAATCTAAAAAAACCCTAATTGATTTTTATTTAGGAAAAGAATTAATTTATTAAAAAGAATTATTTAATTAAGCAAACCCTAAAATCTAGGTTGATTTTTATTCAATTGAGGAAACCTAAAAGTTTTAAATTAGGGTTTATCGATTAAAATCCTAAAATTAAGCTAAACCTAAAATTAATTTAGAAATCTAAAATTAAATTAGAAATTGTAGCTGTGAAAATTGGAGATCAAGCTATTAAGTAACTTGACTCGCAAAAGCAAGAGTCGCCACCGCGCTTTATTATTTTCAAGGGAAAAGGGAAAAGTGTGAAATAAAACTCTTAAATATGCAATGTAAAGTAATACTTAAAAGTAATGAAAATATAATGCGTTTTTGAAAGAGATCTAAAGTTAGGGGGTTGATTATACAATGGGAAGGTACTAGAACCCAATGCATATGCGGTACTCTGCAGGAACCTTTTGAAATGTTCATTTTTTGGTTTAAATTGTTTGTTTGGTCAAAATGATTTGTTTGGTAAAAATGGGTGTGGACGAGATTTTGAAGATACGACGACCTAATGTCGAAGTTTTGTCTTAAAAGGGGTGTGAGTTTTAAAATTGACTTTTTAGGAAAATTAAATTAAGTTTAGCAAAATAGTAAAACAAAAATGAATGAAGGGATTCGCACAATCGTATTGGATATGTTCGATGACATGAAGTCGACTAATTAATTCTTTCCATCGGTTTTGAGACAGACGAAAGATATGAACGATCAAGAATAAAGTTAATTAGAGCGAAAATTGAATAATAACAAAAATTCAATAAGAGATTAATTTATAAGCATGTATTTAAATAAACAAAATGTAAATAAAAGATAATTTATTAGCATGTATTTAAATAAATAACAAAAATTAAATAAAGACTAAATTATAATAACAAGTATTTTGAACAATTAAATAAATAACAAAATTAAATAAAAGACTAGATTATAAAACATGTATTTTGGACAATTAAATAAAATAGAAAAAATTAAATAAAAGACTAGATTATAAAACATGTATTTGTAAACAATTAAATAAATAACCAAAAGTTAAATAAAGACTAATTTATAAAATATATATTTTTAATTTTTTATAAAGGCAAGAAATTTTTTTAAAATGAACTAAATTAATATTTATTATCACATATTTAATAAAATGGTAATAATGGCTAAATGAACTAAGAAAAAATAAAATAAAATACCCCAACAGGGGTTGAACCAGGGTTTCCTTGGGTTATAACATACAGGCCTTGACAACTGAACTATGTTATTTAAATGTTATTACTAGGTTTGAATTAAAATATAAAGAAAAATATGGATAACGGGTTGGGCCAGCAGGCCCAATGGGCTGACCCGGTTTGGAGGAAAGAAACAAGGGAGATTTTTGGGAACCCTAAAATGAGGAAGCGTCGCAGCTAGGAGCATTGGAAAGGAAAATAACATATTATATTTTTATTATTATTGTTCCAACAACAAAACAATTTAAGGAAAAAATGAAACAAAAACAAATGCAGTCCTCTCTCTCACGGATCTCGTATCATCACCATCTCCTACAACTTTATTCCATCTTCTTCTTCATCACTACAAATATCCCCTTCATATTTATGGCCATTTGCTGAGATACACCATTCTTATTGTCTCTAACATCACCCTTTTCCTTTTGATAATAATGTTCGGCAGGAGGAGGAAAGATATGAACGGAGTTCGCTCGCACAAGGTGAGACTAAATTGTTCTATTATAGTAGCTATGGTCGCGGAATATTGACATAAATAGAGAGTGAGAGAGGCGATGTGATGTTGATTAATGGTAGGTTTTGAGTGATTCTGGCGGAGGAAGCTGGCAGTCTCAGCGGAAAGGGATGGACGAAGGATATGGTTGGTTGGTGCTCTAATTCCTAGAAGTTGGGTTAGTTACTAATAGTAGTTATTTTATTTGAATTATAGCAGTTCGTATTTGTGTTCTCGTTGGCAACTGTGGAGAAGTTATTCTCAGTGTTGTTGATTTTAATACTTATACTTATTATGTTCAGTATATACTATCTATCTCTTACCCACATATTCTAGTTCTATCATGTGAACCTCCGAAGAGGAAAAGTAGGTTTCATATTTCTGACAAAAATTAATATGGTAAGAGGGGAAGATAGAGCCAAATGAATGTATGTACTAAAGAAAATGTAAGCTATTTGTGCCAATAGAAAAGAAAGGCTACGGGCCAAACCTGATCCATCAGAAGCAACATTAATTAGCAGCACATAGAGCTTCTTATGGTTGCTCAGCAATACTGTAACTTCCCTTTCTTTACTCTTACTATTTCTCTGAGTTTTTATTTTTGGATTTTTTTACTGTATGTTGTTGATTTTTTATGTGAAAAATTTCTCCTCATCCCTCCTCTCTACTGGTTTCTTGTGTATTTATAGTGAATACAAATGAGAAAATTGGAGGGAAATTTGGATGTGAAAGTTGGTTTTATTGTAACTGTTTTATTGCTTTTTGGTGCAGGTATTTGTGGTTTCATTTTGGGCAAGTTTTGGATAGCAAATATAGTAACAAGGTTGTTTGCAGACTGGTTTTTATGCAGGTTTAAGGACTGTAATGCAGGGTTTTTGGACAGCAGACAAAAGACAATTTTGGGGTTGTTTTTGGCATATTGCAGCAGCAGAATTTGGAGTGTAGTATCATGGAAAGGTCCCTTTCTACTTTTCATTTTTATGATTTTCCCATGTAACAATACATGTATCTTCCCTCTCTTTTTCTTTTGAAATTGGACTGATTTTGTCTTCTGGTGTTTTGTTGTTTTGGTGGACAAATTTGGATGAAAATTGAAGCAAGGTTTGAATGAGTTTGCAAGTGTAGTTTATATGTTATGTGCAGTATTAGTGACTCTGTCTCTTTTTGTTGCTATTATTTTCTTCTATGCAGATGGAATATCCAAAGACTCAACCAAAGACTCTGACAACACAGTATATGCCAAAGGTTTTGCTTGTGCAGCGACCGGGTGTGGCGTAGGTTATAGCGTTTGACCTTTGTATATTTCCTTGTCATACTATAAAGCTACAGAGGGGATGTTTTTTAGTTCTAGTCAAAATGGTATTGGGTTTTGTGACTGAACAAGGCAAAGTTGTAATCTTCAATTGAAAAAGTGTATTTTCATGTAACAATTGTATAGCAGTGTTACAACAAATTAGAACCGGACACATTTGAGAATGTTCAATTCAATTGACATATTCACTTTACTTTAAAATAATGTGATCTTAATCTCCTGAAAGTCAAAAATGGGAACACCCTTATATTTGTACATGATTATTTGAATGAAATGATAAATTTTGGTGAAACATGGTCTAGACTTTGTAACTTGTTACATTTGAATTCAACATTTCCATAATTCTAAATTGTAAGCATTAGAAATTGGATGGAACTTTGGTCCCTTGTATTTGAACCTCTCTTGAAAAACATTCGCAACCTTGAATGGCATTTGAACTTGACATTTGAATTTTGAAAATTGTCTTGTAAGTTGAATGGTGTGAAACTTAAAATAATGAATGTTTGAATCTTGGCATAATGACCTTGAATCAAAAGGAATTTGTATGAAATGAAAAAAAAAGGTAAATGTTAAAACTTTAATGAATTGAATCTTGATGAACAAACAAATTCCTTAAGAACTTTAATCAAAATCCAACTTCGATCCATTAATCATTAACGCTCAAACACAAGTGACTTGAATTACGAGCAATAGATGATCAATGAATCTTCATAGTTAACTACTTGTTTCATGAATTATAATGTTTTTTTCAACAAATCCCAACGGCCTCCTAAGCACAACTTAACCTTGATTCTTTGAAGTAATCTCATAGACAATGCTAATTGTGATACTTCACAAAAAGAATCGCCTCAGGGCGTTGAGAATTGAAGAAGTTACTAATCTCGAAAATTGGACAAGAGTTTCTTGTGATTAGGTCAAATTTGCAAAATAACCTCTAAAGTATTCGAATTTTCGATGATCCTTCGCACACAATCAACTATTGACTTGTAAAGAGAAGTGGGAGATGAAGTCAAGGAGAGTCATACGCAGAAAGGACCACTCAAAATATGGAATAATGAAGAAGTTATGATCGTTTGAACTTGATCTTGCAAAAAGTTAACTTTTGGTTGAAGTGCTTTAAATATCTCACATAGCCTGATCTTTTCTTGCATTCCAAGACACATTGTAGCACATGTGAACCAGTGATGATGAAATCTTGTCTGTGCTCTGAGGAAGTTGTGGAGAAGCTTGAGACCACTTGTCGAAGAAGGCGTGGAAATAAACACACGACCCTCTGAAGTTACAAAAGACATCTTTGATCAAAATGAGATTGAACGATGCTTGAGACTCTATGCTCTGAGATTAGAGGTTGTGCCTTGATTAATCAATCTTTGAGAATCCACAATCAATCGTGCTTCTGGCTTGGGAGACTCAAAAACCTAATTGAGGTGCGACGCCTGATGCTCTTGATTCAGACCTATCTTTGCACATGAAATAAAAGAAAACACGAACATACACCTTTGAATGCGATTAGAAGTTAGTGATACATAGGCTAAAAATGTTCAAAATACTTGACACTCTTTATATAATCAATGCTCGAATGTGAGAGGTTAAAACCGACTTTATTTCGTGACCTTGACTTTTGTATAAAATGCGAAATGAAAATGGGATCTTAGGTCAAAAATTGGGGTATGACAGAAACCTAAAAATAAAATTAGGGTTTGTGTTAAAAAAAGGTTTTGAAAAATGTTTGGTGAAAGAATAGGAAAAAGAAGAAAGAAAAGAGTGAGAAACATAGTGTTGTACCCAAATTTTTTCCCCTAAAATTCCCCTATCATCTCATATCAACTCAATCATATCAAGATCACAATTGGGTTTGGTTCCTCCCTCTATCTCTAGGTTTGCTCGTGAGGAATCACCAAGCACCTTGATTCATATATGTTTTGTATTAATTAACTTTTAACTAATAAATACAATGAATGTTTGCTCTAATTGATGATATTATAGGTTAGGGAACAACACATTTCATCAATTTGATTTATAGGTTCATGAGTTTATTTCCATGTCTTCTTTAAGAAAGCTTCATTAAGAGTAAAACTTCATCATTGGAGATACTTTGAAGTAATATCATGAAAAGGTGTCTTTTGTTGCTATGCATTCTTATTATCATCCATAACAACTTATATTCACGTGGCAAGAGTTATTGTGCAATAAAGTTGGTCAAAATTGAAAGAGGTTTCCAAGTTACTTTGGTGCTCTAGGAGCTAGGGTTTTGAACTTCTGAGGGCTATATCTTGCTCATCTTTTGGTATTTTTGAGTGATTATAAGGACATTCTTCTATTTAAAGAGTTATCAACCAATTACTTCAAAAGTTTCAAGAAACGTTTATGTGAAAGATGCCTAATGATGAAGAAAGATTACAAGTCCCCTAGATAGGCCATCCAATTCCCTTATGTAACATCAAAAAGTCATAACTTGATCAATTTTTATCTCCTTGAGACCATTCCTTTTCCATAATGATCTTAAGGATGTGAACTTCAACTCTTCTTTTTTGAGCAAATCTTGAAAATGGATGGAACACACCCTAAGAATGCAAAAGGTTATAGGTCATTTCATGGATTTTCACCAACTTCCCAGAGTCATAACTTTCTCAATTCTTAGAGTTTTAAGTGGCTCAAATCTAAAAATTTCATTTAAGAGATCTATTTCATGTCATCTTTTTTGGTCAAAAGCAAATTTTGGGTTGAAGGCCATGTTTGGATGCAAAACATTATAGGTCAATTTTGAAGAAAAACAGAGAATTTTTCTAAGTACAAAAAGTAAGCATCTTTTTCTCAACTTTGACTCATCACAACTCGAAGCTCAAGTATCCTTTTTATCCCATTATTTGCAAATTTTAAAATTTGTGACCTTATCTTTCAATTTCTTCAAGAATCATGCCCTAAGACTCCTTGAGTTGTGAATGCCATTGATTCAAAGTTGGTACCTTGAAACTGATTTTTTCCCCCAAGTCAGAATTTGAAATGCACAATTAAGCTTCTAATCACTAAATTTCTGTGTGTTTTTACTTCTAATAATATTTAACAATCTTCCAAAAGTGATTAGCACCTTGAAACACAAGTTTTGGTTGAATTTTGAGAAAAATATGAGTCACACTTTTCATGCTTGCAACCTTACACAATTTGCCTCCAAACTTCATCATTCCATACGCTTGAGCATCCCATTTTCTTCCCTATAAATAGAGGGACATATTGCATTCATTTCCTCAAGATTTTGATAGCTAATTAACCCCTGTTCAGATCCCACATGAACTCTGAATTTGAGTTTCTGATTTCTTGCAATCTCACTCTCAAACACCAAAAGCTCCATTCAGTTCGCTTCATTGAACTTCTCTAAAGCTAATCATACTCTTACCTTCAAGAATTGTGACCTATATTGATCTACAGAAGTCCAATTTCAGAGCCACCTTGTGCTACTTAGTTCAGGTAGATTTCTTGGTCAAATCGATCCAAATAAAAGACTAATCTACTCTCTGCATCCTTCTGATTCTCATGCTTTTTACAATTTGTGATTTCATTGAGATTTGAGTGAGATATTCCAGAATTTTGTGCTCGCTATTATTTTTGAATTTCCTCAATTTAAGCGTTGCTCAGTTTATATAAATTTGGCGCGATGGTACCATTAGAATCATCTTGAACAGACGAATCAAATGGTACCGGTTAGGTACTCTAATTTTACAGTTTGAGGAATCCCAATCTATGTCGTCTAGAGGTTGAAGACGACCTACGTGTCGTGCTTCAACCAATGAAAGCGTGACATGTGATTTTTTGAATTCAATCCAGTGTGTTTGCTTTATCATACGCGCGCTTTGAGAGCCCTTGGATCTGATTACTTCTATTAGTCGGACTCCATCCAACGCGCCATAATTTTAGTTGTTTTTAATATTTAAAAGGTGATCCGGTGCAATTTCTAAAGTTGACCATGATATGCACAACGTGCTTGATCCTTTGGATCTGATGACTTGCACATTTTGACTCTCATCCAATGGTCCACATTTTTTTGGTTTCTTATTTTATTTTCTTATTTTTTATTTCTATTGATTTAAACTTCAAAAAATCATAGAAAATTCATTTGAGTCAAAAATTATGAAAAAATTCACAAAAATATTTTCAAATATTCTCTTTCTGATTTATATTTTTTCATGATTTTATTTTTAGATATGATATTTTTTATAATTTTTCCTTTGTTTTGACTTGTTTCTAATTATTTAAAGATACTTTTTGATATTTTTAAATTTTGAAAATTTTTATAAAAATCATTTTACTCATTTCAGATTTTCTGAATTTTTTCTAGAGTTTTATTTTGACTTATACTATTTTTGATCTTTTTCTTCACTTATTTGATTGATTTTAATTAGTTTAAAATTACTTTTCTATTTTAAAAAATTACAAAAAAAATTTATAAAAATATTTGAGGTCATTTCTGATTTTTCAATGGTCTTTTTAAATTTTTCTTTGATACTTTGAAAATAGTTTGCTATTTTACCTCTTATTTTCATTTTAAAAACAATTTAAAAGTTATTTTTCTTTTTTTATTTTATTCATTAAATGCAATTTATTTTTTAATATATTCTGACTATGTGATTGTTGATCAAAAACTTCATTAACATCATTGGATCTTGAGTGTTGAGTTCAACTCCACCAAAGTGGATGGATGATTTAAATTATAGTTTTGATCAAGGTTTTTTATTCAAATCTATCCCCTCCCTCTTCATCTCATCCTCTTCTCTTTGTGCTACATGTTGTTAGAGGATGATCTACATATCATCACTCCAAACATATGGCACATAAATTGATATTTATCGGCCTCAAAATAGGTGCGACTTCTCTATAAGTCCACTTATGATTTCTTAACATAGTTCTAAATTTTGTCCCGATTCGAGAAATGATAATTCGTGGCCCAAACCTATGTTTGAAAGCCCAAGCATGTTTAATTTGAAA